CCACTGGAACCTCAAAAAAGTTAGGCCTAGTCATGCAAAAACTGACTTTTCTATAAACTCTACTGCTACGGGGAAAAAAAAATGCAAAGGGGCACTCTGAGGGGTACTGTGATGCTTCACCAGAAGCCGTATGTTGGAGAAACAGTTCATCCGAGAAAAGCTAGAAGTTACCTGTGTCTGGCAGCATGATCGGAGTTGCACCCTGGATGTCGCGGACAGATCTGGTAATGGCAGTTGCAGTACAGGTAAGTACATTGACACAACGAGCAAACAGCAGTCGTATTTAAGCCAGGCCCAGGGCCTGGCGACATGCTCTCCTCGCGATAGCATACGCCTCTAAAACTACCGCAAACAATTCTTACATACGTAATTTTACGATTAGGTGCAGTGAAATCCATCCAAAAATTGCTCTCTATCTAAAAAGCAGCAGAGAAACGCTATCGGAACTGTTAAAGTCTATCTTTCCAGAGCTCGATATGGCACAAGTTTATCTGGGCGCCCTGATATAAACTGCCATTCTCGAGATTCCGTGGGCCAATTCAAAAGATCCGTCCAAGCCTGAGAATAAGTACTGCTTTCCGCACCGAAATCCATCAGTAGAGTTGAAATGCTTTGTTCGCGCTGAGAAATCCGACAAAAGAAATTTACAAGCGACCCTTCACACTTAATGCTGATTACCGTAAAATTTATCAAATCAATTAACTCAACAGGGTCTGCCTGGACAAAAAAACCGCCCGCAGAAATGTCTGAACAGAAACAGCTCGAGCACACAATCAGAACAGAAAACAGAAACAAAAACACAAAACAGAAACTATCAGTTTCTGCGACAAATGGATAAGAGTTGTATTTTGCTGAACGAAGAAACGTGACAAGGCAGTGTTACTAACGAGTACCAGAAACGGATAGCAAAAAACAACAAAGGAGGTGCTAGAGAGAGACCCTCTCTTATAAAGCGTAGCCAACATGATCGCGCAAAAATGCGACAAAATTGGTCGAAAGAGAATACGACTGAAATAGTGGCCGGAGTGCAACAGTGAGAAACTTATGGATAACTCCCGCACCAGTACGACAGGAGACAACAGACAACAGTCTTCTGTCGTACTGGTGCAGGAGTTACCCATAAGTTATATCGACAATAGGACTGTTGTCTTGATGATCCAATTTTTCGCTTTTTATCTTTCAAAAATTCAAGTCTGATATCTCTCGTCCACGTCG